CTGTCTGTTGCCATTTCCAGCCTGGTTCTGGGGAGGAGCAGGAGAAAATTCGCTTTAGTCTCAGGGGTCATACGTGCCTGCAAGCTGTGTAAAGACCTCTTTTGTCATTGTTGCTCAGTCACTCAGTCGTGTCCGACTGTTTGTGACCCCGTGGACTGCAGCACGCCAGGCTTCCCTGTCGTCCACTGTCTCCTGGAGTCTGCACAAACCCATGTCCATAAAGATTTGGTTTTACTTCGAAAGAAATACTATCTAGATTGAAAGTATAAATCAGTTTTCAAGTTGAATAAATTAAAAGCAGAGCACAGCCACCAGACGAGGTTCAGCTTGATACGTAATAGACCGCTGAGAGGGATTCATCAGACAGACCTAAGGGGTCAGCCCCCGTTTAGTGACTGCAAGCTTGCTAGGCAGACCAAAATGATTTCATGTTGAATATGAAATCTTCATGATGCAGACTATACCTTTCACCTTGTCAGATTATAAATGACCCCTGGAACTGTCTGGGATGCTGGGTTTCTTCCAAGCCTGAGGAACAAGCTCTGCATTGTGGCCACAGCACTCTCTCGGGATGGCGACTTAGTGCTGGCTCCAGAATTCTCTGTCATGCAAAAAAAAAAGGGGAAGAAGAAAATATTAGCCCACGTATCTTTATACTTCCATGTCTTGTCCATAACTCTCCCCTCCACTCCCACCCCCTACTAAACAGGACAGAATATCAATCATGGAGACAATTTAAGTGAGTATTATGAACAGTCTCCTACCTGGCAGAATTATTATTGAATGTTTCTTTATTAAATTGGTTATTTGAAACTCAATGCATCTCCCTTAGTTAAACAGTATTATAAATGATGATTAATTTTGATTCTAAATTAATCCAATTACTGAGAAGAAAGCTTCTTCCTTTTTTCTAAAACTGACAGACAGAAGGAGTATTTCAAAAGGTTTCTGAGCTTGCCTTTGGCGTTCATCTCTTCCTTTTACCTCCGAGGGCCTCTGGGCCCATATACCTTCTCCCTAGTTGGTTACCTTATCCAATCTGCTTTATTCCCTGAAGTATTCCATGTTGCTACATTATATTTCTTCCTTTTTACCCTAAAACCAGAAACTCAGACACTTTCAATGGAATTTACCTCAGGGGTTGAGAGGAAAGCTAACTTGATCACTAAATTCAGACAAAGAATGAAGGCCCTTCAAGGGGTGTATGTCTCCTTATGCCCCTTTAAATTGTGAAATAGGGTTCTGTACTTCTTATAAGAGAATGCTAGCTGCTGCAAGTGAATCTTAGTAGAAGTTTGGCTAATGTGACCAAGTGAAATGAAAATACAGTGGTTATGAGAAGTGTTTGAGTATGTTGGTGGGAATTAGGCTTCTGTTCTTCCTTTTCATGAGTTTTCTTCCTCCAGTTTAGTTTCAGAGTTTAGCACTTTTGGTCAGGGGCTGGGATGGGGAGAAAAGTAGGGGAGGACGGAGGCAACAACAGACCATTTGCAAACGAGAATGCTAATTTCTCAGCAGACAACCAGACAGAAAGTGCACAGGTCCTAACTGAGTGACTATAGGTAAGACTGACCTAAATCTCTGGGAGCTTGAAAAGTTACCCAGACTTCTGTGCATTTAAATTATATATGAACACTATTTAATCTGTATAGACCTAGAAAATAATTTTAGTCCAGTAATTAATTCCAGAGTTTGTGATCTGAAGTAAACCATACAGAAGAGAAGGTGCTTGTGACTTCATCATATATTCTTATTTACTCTTTATGAGCACATAGCTATTAATAGTGAGGCTAGTCAAGAGACAAAAATTGTCTTCTGTGCTTCATCATCATGTCCTGTCATTTCCTCTTGCTTTGGTTTACCTAGGTATTTTCAAAATCCTCAGTAGATAATTTCACATCAGGCATGTAATCAGAATGAAGATCAGGTGTCTGGAGTGCTGTGTTTGAAAACGGTGTGCTCTGGTGCCTGGTTAAATAATGTGGGGCTTATTTTCTGGCAGAGTGGTGTCACATCTCCTTTGATGTTGGCCAGAACTGGGTGGGGTTTCTTAAGCTGCAGCGGAATTTGCTCAGGCTAGGGCTCTGTGCACCAGGGAGCTGGTTTTCAGTCTTTCTCTTTGCCAAAAGGCTTTTGCCTTTTTAAATAAACCTGAACCCAGTTATAATTGAGAGTACTTGATGTATAAAATAATAGTCACACGGAGGGTCCAAGTGATGAAACTGAATTATAAGTAGTTTATCGAATAGTCAACCTCAGGAATTGTTTCACATACCACTCTCATTTTACAGCCTAGGGAATTCAACCCCGGAAGGTGACCTGCTCAAAGCCAAACTGAGAATCAGACTGAACTAGTGAAGCACGGAAATGTCTTTAACCAGCTTTTTTTCTTATCTCCTGTCAGCAAATTCATTCAAAGTTAATAGTATAAGCAACTATATTCAGTATTTTGCAATAACCTATAAAGGAAAATAATCTGAAAAAGAATATATATATATATATATATATATATATATATATATATAACTGAATCACTTTGCTGTACACCTGAAACATTGTAAATCTACTATATTCAATTAAAAAGTCCAAACTCAGATAAGTTTCTCTTTTATCTATGCAAATAGAAGGAGGAAAGCATAAATAGTCAATGTGAGATAATTTTTTAAATGTAGATCCTTCTCATTCCCAAGAATATGTTTTTGGATTTTCTTGAGTATCCAGATTAGAGAAGGACAGTGTGTGAATAAATATTATTAAGTGACCTTAAATGTTTCTGTGTGTGTTGGATGACATTCATTCATGAGCTCATTAAGATCAATTTTGGAGCATTTGCAGAGCTAGCTTAACAGATTTGTAGAGCACCTAAGGAATTTATTACACATGTTTTAAAGTAGAATAATTATAATTGAATAATTTTCTCTTTATTGAAAACTGGGCCTTTTGGGCTGAAAGCCAGTATTTTCACTTCTGCTGGCTAGTATTGCCTTTACAGAGTCACTTTCCATAAGTATATTGTGTGTGTGTTTAAATCATACTTCTATTTATATGTGATGACATGAAAAGAACAGCTAAACTGTGTTGAAAAGCAGATGCTGGGTGGTTGGCTGCACAACCCTCCCACTTTCCAGCTTTCAGATTTTCTATCAATTTTACCCTCTTAAGCTGAATGTAAGCTGCTGTTGCTATTCCGTAAACCACCTATCAGCCGAGAAAATGGTTTGGGAGGTTGCAAGGCAGGGAGGAGAGTAAGATTACAGTGAATAAAAAGCTGCCCTTTGGGAATCTGCACTCAGATAAATGAGGTTTAAAAGGTTTTGCTGGTTTTGCTTGTGTTTTCACCAGTGTCCTAAATTAGGGAAAGTTTTGAGTAGATTGCATGAAGTATTATAGAAGAATAGATCTGTTGGGCTCTTACTGTATATTTTTAAAGATGGTAGAGGTGTTCTTACAAGCTCTCTTTGACTATGAAACTGTTTATTTATAGACATCCTTTATTGTTTTTTGCTTATAACAGCTTTCAAAGGCTAACCGTAATAATAGTTACCATAAATAAAAAAGAGAAAAGCAGTTCCTTTTTATGGAACCCTTTGACATTCATCAGGCCTTTACAAAGTTCTTTTTTTTTTCTGGCTGTGCTGTGCGGCATGTAGAATCTTAGTTCCCCCACCAGGGATTTAACCCACCCCTGGCAGTGAAAGTGAGAGTCCTAAACACTGGACTGCCAGGGACTTCCCGTATACTTTTTTTTTTAAACCAGTGTGTTTGTGTACATTTATGTATATAAGATTTTTAGCTTTTTTAAAAATGCTTTTATTTATCTATCTATCTGTGGCTGTGCTGAGTCTTTGTTGCTGAGAGTGTTTTTCTGTAGTTGCAGGAAGCAGAAGGGGCTGCTCGTTGTGGTTGCTTCTCTCGTTGCTGAGCACGGGCTCTAGGCTGGGCGGGTTTCAGTAGTTAGGGCACGTGGGCTCAGTAGTTGTGACTCCTGGGCTCTATCAGCAGTTGTGGCCCACAGCCTGTGGGATCTTCCCAGATCAGGGATTGAACCATGTCTCCTGCACTGACACGCAGATTCTTCACTACTGAGCCACCAAGAAAACCCTCCCATGTACTTTTTAGTTTCAGGTTATGTTTAAAAATTGAAAGCTTGGTTGGTGTTCTGTAAAGATAGTAATGTCCATGACCACAGAGACTGCCTTCTCTAGCTCATTCAGGGAAGATGCCTGCATTTTTCATGCCAGCAGGGCCAAGTTTGACCAAGTCTTTTGCAAGTGATTCATGAAGCAGTATTTGGGCCCAGATTCCTAGTCTCTGGCAAGGAAAAGTGATTTCACTTGCCTGATAGTATTTAACCTTTTTTAAAAATAAAATGGGAATGTAACCTAATCTGACCTCCTTTTGTATGTATTTTTACCCTGGTGGCTGAGTTGGTTAAGAATTCGCCTGCAATGCGGGAGACCTGGTTTCAATCCCTGGGTTAGAAAGATCCCCTGGAGATGGAAACAGCTACCCACTCCAGTATTCTGGCTTGGAGAATTCCGTGGACTACAGTCCATGGGGTTGCAAAGAGTTGGACACGACTGAGACACTTTCACTTTCATTTTAAGAATTACTCTGCAACATGATTTGGAAATTAAGATAAATGGAATAGTTTAAAGGGTTTTGAAGACTTGAAATCAAAAGACCTGATTTGGATTCTTATGGCTAATAAATTTGGGTAAATATAGGGGTCTTTTTTACCCTTCACTTTTCTTATTGTTGAAAAGGACGGAGTGACACTTGCTCTGTTTACCTCCCAGGATGTGAGGAAGAGTTTACTTTGGGTAAGACAGTCTGTTACTGAGCTTTGATTTTCCATTCTATAAAATGGGAGAGTCTCTTTTAGCTTGAAAATTTTGCATTTTAATTCCTTGTTTGTTTAAAACAATGACAAGAGTTTCTAGGAATGTTTTCTCTTTGGCACTGCTTGTCATATGAACTCTTGTTTCCCCATTAACCAGGCAGTTGCAGTGGTGCAGAATGGCTGACCTCAGTCTTGCAGATGCGTTAACGGAGCCGTCTCCAGAAATTGAGGAAGAGATAAAACGGGACTTTATTGCCACACTGGAGGCAGAGGCCTTTGATGATGTTGTGGGAGAAACTGTTGGAAAAACAGACTATATTCCTCTCCTGGATGTTGATGAAAAAACCGGGAATTCGGAGTCAAAGAAGAAACCATGCTCAGACACCAGCCAGGTTGAAGGTAAGTAATTAAATTAAACTGGATATAGGTTCAGAAAGTAGATTAGGGATTACACTTTGGGTCATAATCTTATAAACTTTTGAGGAAACTAAAGTGAGTTTTTAAGTATAAGTTAGTAACTTTCTCTTTACCTGCATTTCTTAGAAACCAAGGAGGTAGGTTCATTTAGTTGAATATGTATTCTTCAGGCTGTAGATTACTCTTAACCTTCTCTTAACCCTTAAGTTTCTTCTGTAATGTCTCAATTACTGTATAATCTGCTTATTAATTTCCTAAATTAAACTGCCTGCTATGCCTTTTCTTTGAAAGTAGCTTTGTAAAGTTAGATACTTTATATTTATACCAAGATTTAATTTGGATTGGAGTCAGATGCCACCTGTCTTTGAGAGTAATCCTAGGTCAGGATTAAAAAATGGATTAAACCCCTTTAAAAGAGATTTGCTGCCTTTATATATTGCTGGATCAAATTTGCTAACATTTGAGGATTTTTGTATTTATGTGTATGTGGATATTGGTCTGTTTTCTTGTGAGGCCTTTGTCTGGTTTTAAAATTGAGGTCATGTTGACATCATAAAATGAGTTGGGAAGTGTTCCCTCCTATTCTGTTTTCTAGAATGGTTTGTGTTGAATTGATTTTTTCTTTAATGTTTGACAGACTTTGTCAGTGAAGCCATCTGGACCGGGAGTTTTCTTTGTCAACTTTTTGACTAAGAATTCAGTTCCTTTCAGAGACAGAGAACTGTACATGTTTTTTCTTCTCAAGTGAGCTTTGGTGGTTTGTATCTTTCAAGAGATTGGTCTGTTTCCTCTAAGTCATTGAATTAATGGAGATGAAATTATAATATTACCTTATCCTTCTAATGTTGAGGATCTCTTGTCATGTTCTCTCTTTCATTATGAAAATTTGTTTCCTCTTTTCATTTGAGGAGTCTAGATACTAGTTTATTAATTTTTTTTTTTTTTTAAGATCCAGCTTTTGGCTTCATAGGTTTTTTTTTTTTTTTTTCCAGGTATACAACAGACTCTGTCAATATTTGTATGTATTGTGAAATGATCACTATAAGTCTAGTTAACATCCATTACCACATATAGTTATACCTTCTCTTCCCCGTGTGATGAGAATTTCTAAGGTCTATTCTCTCAGCAACCTTCAAATATGGTACAGTGTTATTATTAACTATAAAACTGTGCTGTACATTGTATCTTCAGGATTTACTTTTTTTTTTTTTTTTTAGGATTTACTTATTTTATAACTAGAAGTTTATATCTTTTGAACTCCTTTCACCCATTTTTCTACTCACCCCCCCACCTCTGGCAACCACATAAAATAGGCTTTTAATGTTATAAATTTCTCTCTAATCCTAGTTGTATGTGTCCCATAGATTTTGATATGTTATGTGTTTTATTTTCATTCAGTTCAAACATTTTCTGTTTTGTCTTATGAATTCCTCTTCTATCTATCAGTTATTAGAATTATGTTAATTTCTCAGTATTTAGGGATTTTTTTTAGATATTCTTCTATACTTGATTTTTGGTTTAACTGTTGTGATCAGAAGACATCCTTTAAAATTTCAGTTTATTAAAATTTTTGGGGGGTTTCATTATATGGCCTGTCAGGGTCAGTGTTGAGCTCTTGCAATAAAGTGTACAATGCTGTTATTTATTGTGTGAAGTGGTCTTATTAATGTCAGTTAAGTCCAGTTGGTTGATAGTGTTATTCATGTTTTTCATATCCTTGCCTACTTTACAGTTACTTGTTCTCATGACTTGAGAAAGATATTGAAGTTTTGATGTAATTTTGTGGATTTGTTTCTCCCTTCAGTTCTGTCAGTTTTTGTTGCATGTTTTTTGAAGATCTCTCATCATGTGCATATATATTTACATTGTTATGTCTCCTTGATGAATTGACCTCTGATTGTCTCTATTCCTGGTAATTTTCTTTTTTCTGAATTCTAATTTTCATCTTGTATTAATGTAGCTACTCTAGTTTCCTTAGTTAGTGTTTGCTTGGTATGTCTATCTTCTTCCTTTCACTTTCAACGGGTTTCTTTTTTAATATATATTAATAATGGGTTTCTTAGAATATAGATGGTTCTTGCTTTTAAAATCTAACCTGATGAACGCTTGTCTTTTAGTTGATGTGTTTAGACTATTTATTGGAATACTTCATGTGATTATTGATATGGTTGGATTTAATCTGTCAGTTTGTTGTTAGTTTTCTCTTTCTTTAGTCTAGTTTTCTTTTTCTATCTGCTTTTGGATTAAGTGAATATTTTTATGATACTGTTTTAACTCTAGTATTGTCTTGTTATGTATATTTCTTTTAAAAGTTGTTTTATATTTGACCTAGATTTTACAGTGTACATTTCTTCCAGTTTGCCTTCCAGTAATATTCTACCATTTCACCTAGAGTGTAAAATTCCATGCAAAACAGTAAATGTCCAATTTGTCTTTCATATTTTGTGTTAGTCATGCACATAATTTGACGTGTTTTTGTGTTAGTCATATACATAGTTTGACATGTGTTAGTTACCTACATTGTTACTATTTTTGCTTTACATTGTCAACTATCTTTTAGAATGAAATAAAAATATGGAGGAGAATGCTTTACTCTCATTTTTACTATTTTGGGCATTCTTCATTTTGTGTGTGTGTATGTAGACCCAAATTTCTGTCTAGCACCATAGTCTTCCTGCCTAAAAACTTCCAGTACTTCCTCTCTTACGGTACAAATCTATGTAACAGTAAATTATCTCACCTTTTTTAATTTGAAAAACAAACCTTAAGTTTTGGAAGGTATTTTTTGCTAGGTGTCATACTCTGTTAACTTTTCTTTCAGTAACTTAAAGGAAAATTAGTCTTCCTACTTGCAGTTTCCGATAAGAAGTCTGTTAACAATCTTGACAGTTATTCCTTTTATTCCCTTCCTCTGCCTGCCTTCAAGGTTTTATCTTGATCTTTTAGCAGCTTGAATATGTTGTGTTTAGATGATAAATATCTTTAATAAATACCTTTAAAAAAAGGTATTTTTTTGTCTGTACCAGGTCTTAGTTGTGGCATGCAGGATCTTTCAGTTGTGGCATGCGAACTCCTGGTTGTGGCATGTGAGATCTAGTTCCCTGACCAGGGATTGGACCCAAGAGCATTGGAACCTCGAAGTCTTAGCCACTGGACCACCAGGGAAGCCCTAGCTGATATTTTGCCTTGCTAGCATTCTCTGAGCTTGTTCTCTGCTTTGCCTCTTTCTTCTTCTCTTCTCCTTCTGGGATTCCAGTTACTTTTTTGTTAAATTGTTGAGTATTGTCCAACTGATCTTGGATGCTTTGGTTTTTTTCCTTCCCTCTTTTTTTCCCTCTTTATGTTTCATTTTGGGTATTTTCTTTTGACTTGTATTCAAGTTCCCTGATGTTTTTTGCTGGCTGCATTGAGTCTAATAATGAATCCTCAGTGACATTCTTTATCTTTAATATTTTTACTGTTTTTAACTTACAGCATTTCTATTTGACCTTTAGAGCTTCCATCTCTCTGCTGAAATTATCTATCTATTAATGCATATGTCTGTCTTTTTCACTATAGACTTTAACACATTAATCATAATTTTTAAATATTTTCCAGTAATTTAAATATCTGGGTCATTCCTCAGTCTGATTCTTTTGTCTCGTCACTGTTTTTTTCTGGTACTTTTTATGTGTGTGTTAATTTCTGAGTGACTTCTAGACTTTACATGTAAAACAGACTGAGATAAAAAAGGATTTTTGCCTGGAAATGAGCGTATGGTTAGGCTACTCAAGATGGCTGTTCTCTTGCTCTCTGTATGTACATCCCCTGTCCGACCAGTGCCCGCTTCACGTATGCCCTACTCACATGACGGACCTTCCTACGCCCTTGCCCTTTCCTAGCTGGTGAGGGCCATGAGGGCTGTGCCCCTCCACTGGTTTCCTGATGCCTAATGAGCCCTCCTGACATCAAATCCTGTATAACCGATAGTCACCCCTGCCATCTGGGAGCAAAGACTGCCTCCACGTCCTAAGCCTGTCTTCCGCTGCGTATGGCGGGGTATCACTCCAGGACCTTGCTTCAGCTGTGTGAGGTCCCCCATCCATTTCACCGTTGATGTCTCTGTTGCTGACTGTGGGCTCTTTCTTCAGTCTTGGAACTGGGCAAGACCTTGTAGACTTGGGGGTTACAGCTCAACAGTGGCATAGCTCTTCTTTTACTAGGTAGTTTGTTCAAAGTGTTGAGGCCAGGGCTGAGCTCGGGTTGGGCTTTGCTGTTACTGTGATGGTCTTCATTGCGCTACTGGCTGTAAATGCGTCTATTCCTGGATCTTAGAGTAGGGGCTGAGGGGCTGAACCGCCTGTTGTCAGTCCTTGTTCCACTCAGCTTTTGGCTTCTGCTGTGCACCCGTGCCTCTTTCCCCTCCCTTGTCAGAAGAGGGAGGGGTAGCCTGGGAGGGGCAGGAGTTTTGTTTATTTTTGGTTTTTGGTCTTGGTTTAGGCTCAGTCTTGTGTGCATGTATCTCATGGCTGAGTGTTTTTCTCAGTAATATTATCCCTCTTACATGGATAGGGTTTTCTGAGTATTGGTGTAGGATCCTGGGCTCAGACTTTTTCTGGCTCCTCCCTAAAGTGAGAGGGGATTTTTCTCCTTACTCCTTCCCCAGCTGCATTAGGCCTTCACCTGGCCCTGGGGTTGACAGGGTTTGATACTTCTCCCCCAGCAGCTGAAAGCTTTTGTTTGCAGAGGGGAGAAGGGCCCTAGGGGAGAGGGCTTCTTGCCTTTGCTTTAGTGGCACCTTTTTCTAGCCTGCACCATGGAGGGCAGCGCCCTGGTGTCCCCCCTCCCCGCCGCCAGTCTTTGTAACCTGCGAGTGGATTTTAAGTCCTTTCGTGTCTGTGGAGCCCAAGGACCCCTTACTCTCATGCTAGCCTTCACTTAGCCTTTAGCAGGGCTTCCCTGGTGGCTCAGATGATAAAGAATTCTTCTGCAATGTGGGAGAC